TGGCAACTGGTTCATAGTTATGCCTGTAGCTGTCTCCCAAGGTCATGTGATTCCACTTTTGCAACCTTTTGACAAGCAAAACCAATGGGGGGGGGGACCAGTTTCACTTAACAACCATGTTACTAACTGATCCCCTGCAGTGATTCACTTAACCGTGGCAAGGTCGTAAAATGAGACAAAACTCACTTAACAAACATCTCACTTAATAGCGGATATTATGCTGTTAAGTGAAACATTTGTTAAGCGAGTTTGCCCCATCGTATGACCTTCCTTGCTGCAGTTGTTAAGTGAATTGCCGCATTCGTTAAGTTAGTAACACATTCGTTAAAGTGAATCTGGATTCCCCAACGACTTTGTCAGGAAGACGCCAAAAGCAGATCACATGACCCCCGCACACCGCTACCATCGTAAATGAATGTGAACCCAGTTGCCCAGCATTGAATTTTGAACCCCTGACCATGAGGATGCTGCAATGGCCGTAAATGTGAAAAAATGGTCATTAAGTCACTTTTTTCCAGTGCTGCTGTGACTTTGAATGGTCAATAAAGGAACTGTTGTAAAGGACTACTTGAATAACCCAACCTGCTTTCATTAACAATATTACAGCATATTGTAATACAATAGCAGAGTTGGAAGGGACCTTGGAGGGAGCCGAGGTGGCGCAGTGGTTAGGGTGCAGTACTGCAGCCACTTCAGCTGACTGCTAGTTCGGCGGTTCAAATCTCACCGGTTCAGGATTGACTCAGCCTTCCATCCTTCCGAGGTGGGTAAAATGAGGATTGTTGTTGGAGGCAATATGCTGACTCTGTAAACCGCTTAGAGAGGGCTGAAAGCCCTATGAAGCGGTATATAATTATTGGAGGTCTTCTAGTTCAACCCCCTGCCTAGGTAGGAAACCCTATACCGTTTCAGACAGATGGCTATCCAACATCTTCTTAAAGATTTCCAGTGTTGGGGCACTCACAACTTCTGGAGGCAAGCAGTTCCACATATTGTCTGAATGGCGTCCTTTCCCATTTCTAAATCCCTCCCGCCGCCCCGTAATTTTTAATGTCGCGCATGTAGGTGTGTAGGTGTACGCACGCACACACAAACACATACACGGGGAAACAGTGGGACTTCCCCTCTCGATTCCTCCTCCCGGCACCCTCCCCCCGATTAACCAGGCCCCCGAGAGGAGAAGGAGGAGGACCCCCGCAAACCATTTGCCCAGCGGCTGATTTAGAGGCGAAGCCGCCCCCGCCGCTTTCCCCATTTCTCACCTTGGGGTAGGTGTGCAGCGGGTAAGTGCTCTGGCACGTCCGTTGACACAGAAGTGTGTTTCCCAAGGCCGGCTCAAAAGCCTCCGAAAGGGTATTCGGAGCGGGCTCCAGGTCAGCCCAAGCCGCCTCAGAGCCGAGAACCACCAGCAGCAGGAGAGACCCTAAACGGCTCCGTCGCGCCGCCGCCATCTTGTTGCCAACCGCCCCTCCCCCCAGCTTCCCTCGACTGTTTGTTTTTGTTACTCCCACCTAGAGCTTCTCGCTTCCGACTGCACGCAAGAGCTTCAGAGAGCTACTAATGTCTAACACCGTTATGTTGACTTCCGGGTTTCTCTATCACAATTTTTTTTTCTCCCGAAAAAAAAGTTGACCTCAGAACAGACTACTCTCATTCTAGCTCTACATTTAAACAGGAATAACGGGGGCGGGGAGGAAGCACACAAAGAAAGAGAAAAGTTTTCTCGCAACCCAGTTTTATTCCACCTATTTTATCAATATGCATCGTCAGGGGCATCTTCCCTTACTGCAAAGTTAATCGGTTTTGGCAACTTTTAAGAATAGAATAGAATAGAATTCTTTATTGGCCAACTGTGATTGGACACACAAGGAATTTGTCTTTGTGCCTCTGCTCTCAGTGTACATAAGGAGAATAAAATACATTCATTAAGAATAAAAAGAGTGATTTTGACTCTCAAAAAGACTACGACTCCCAGAATCCCCAGGCAACATAAAAAGAATGGGGGAAGATTCTGAGATTTGAAATCTTTAAAAAAAGTTGTCAAGGTTGAGAAACGCTGATCAATTGGATGGCAGAGAGAAACGTTTACAGGTAGCGCCAGACAACCATGTAACAGCATAAACACCTTCGTTTGTAAGTTAATTCTCTGTCCAATCACAATTATGTTAAACTCTTAGACTTCCCCTCCCTCCCCTCAGGCGCAAGGTTTTTCCAATAACAAAAACACCACTAGGCAGGTATGACTCTGTGAATGATGTGGTTACTCTAATTATTTTTATCTCTATGATTAATCTGGAAGGGCCGGAAAGTAGGTTGAAAGTGAAGCGTTGTTGGGAAATGTAGTTCCAGGAGGGGGTGCGAGAAGCGGAAGGAGATGCAGTTCCGGCAATTATCAGACATCCTGGACAAATAATGTTGTTTCCCAGGTGAGATGCAGCTCATCTATTATTTTATCTTTTACCAAATTAATGTATTATTTTTTTAAAAAACCCTCAAATGAAAAGTGCCAAGAACTGTGCTTCTCAACAATGACAGAAATTCAACAGGTTCAGCTTGGTTCCCGATCTGGCTTGAACATGGTTTAATGGTATCCAGTTCATGCTCACAGCAACACATTTTAAGCCTCATGTTTATATTATATTATTAATTATATATTATTTTTGAGCACAGATGCCTTTTCAACTTTTACATTATTTACAGGTCTTGTGCTTTTAGTTTAAACTGCAAGGTCACTATTAACCTCAGTTCATTTTTGAAGACCAAGCGAGTACATCTTTCTTCCTTCCCTCCTTTCATACAGAACTACCGTCTTGCTATAAACAATTATTTGTTCCTGTTTATTGATTATTAGATGATGGATAAATTTGTTATAAGAACACCCAGAACTAAAGGAGAATCAACAAAGAACGATCCTGGGGAAAAAGTTTATAAACAAGCTACAATAGAATCTCTAAAGGTAAGTTTTCGGATAGTTTCCCAAATATACTACCGGTAATTGCATTGTAATAATTTAAATTTCTTTCTTTGATTTCAAACAACATGACAATATTTCTGAGGGGTTAAATTGTAAAGCTAGAACTGTTTCCCAAAATATGTATTTAAATCCAATAGGGCAATCGGTGCTGGGGGGGTATTACAAGAAAAGCCTATTTTTTCATGCAAAGAAATATCATTAACAAAAATATCACAAGCTTGACTGTTAACTTTTCTGGAATCTTGCAATTTCAGTACATGAACATGATCCAAATGAAACATCTCAAAAATAACGTTTTATTTTATTTTTATCAGCTGAAGTAACTGTTCAAAGAATAATGAATGAATTTTATTAAAGTTTTAAGAAATATTTATACTTTAAATCAGAGGTGTTAAACTGGCTAGATATCTCCCGTATAGGCCACATCTACCCTAGCTCCATGAATGGGAAAAATGATGTGAAACATTACGTGATGGAAACGTGACAGTGAGTTTGACACCTGTGCTTTAAATGGATTAAACAACATTCTGGAGGAGGTTTGGCCAAAATGGAAGTTCAGTGAAACTGCAAAAACATATTGAGAACTATTATAATATCAAATGTAGTAATAACATCAAATGTAGCTTATACTCTTCAGAATGGATGCAAGGAAATCAAATGAGACAGCTTCTCCTGTGATCCTTACCTTGGATAACAACTCAGCACATTTATTGTTTGCCTCCCTTAAAACTGATTTTAATAACTAGCCAAAAATACCCAATAAAATAAAATTATTCATTTGAAAAATTGAGCTATAAGATCAAAATGAAACTAATTCAAACTAATTTAAAAATAAATGAACATTTTGAAAAAGTTGTAATTTCACATTAATGGGATAGCATTTTTAATTATATAAATACTGTATTTACAATTTACCAATTGTAGCAGTTTCTCTCAAAAGACAAAGCAATAATCTGGAAAAAATGGATCTTTTAATTTTTTTCTCTTTGATTTTAAGAGTAATGCTTACTAAAAAAAGGAAATTTTAAGCATCCTAATTTATTCTACTTGTTTTGTCTTTTGCTCAGTTTTCTTTTTTTGGTAAGTTTTCCTCATCATATCGCATCCAGGGCTGCTTCAAGATAAATCTTTTAATTATTTATGTGACTTGTTTATTCTTCAACAGTTAAATGAAGTGAGAAGAGTTTAAAAATTAACCAGAAGAAAAGAAAAATCTTTAGGAAGAGAAAATAATATAATTTCATAAGGAAGAAAGCAATGGAAAACTTTATTTTGTAGAGGAATAAATCAGAAGAATAAGAACGATGCGANGTAAGCCGCCGGAGTCCTTTGGGATTGGGCGGCATATAAATGTATTTAATAAATAATAATAAATAAATAAATAAATATGTTTAATGTAACCTGTTTAGCATTAGATCTGTACCAGAGACAGAAACATCATAAAGAGTTGGAATTCAAAAAGAAATAACATAAAGCAATTCCAGTTGAAATAGTTAGAACAACTTAAAGCCTGCAAATAAAAATAAAAATAATTGATAGTAGAAGTTAATCATGTATCCTAAGAGCTAATGCTCAGAAGAGTTATATTTGTTTTTTAAAAACAGTCGAGAGACAATATTCAGCCTTTTGTAGTTGTTCAGGGGTGTTTTCCCAAAATATTCTATTAACATGGAACAAAGATTTTAGAGCCTTCTTTTTAACACTAAACAAATTTCCACTGTAGTACGCATTAATGAACAAATTTATTTTCAATTGCATTTCTAGAACATAAAAATATGGATAGGGAAGATCTTTTGAGAGAGCTATAGGAAAATTAGGTTTTCTACTTATGTCCATTAAGTTTATGGTAAATATTGCATAGATGAAGTCAAACAAGATTTCCAGTCATATTTTTCTTAGTAAAGTTTTTGAAAAGTGGCACCATGAATCTAAAATGACAAATTGAAGGAGAACTTTCATAAGAGAATGCTGTCTAATTTTATAAGGCTTGTTATGGAATGCAATGCAAAAGTAACACTCTAATATGTAGAGGGATTTTATTAAAGTTTATTTTTTTATCCACAATTATTTAATCAGAGGAAACAGGCATAAGGTTAAACAAAATTTTATTTTTAGTTGTGGAAAAGATGTTTGAAATGGTAAAGAGTTTGCAAGCTCTGCTACAATCATTTAATTTATCCACAGCTAAGATAACTTAAAGTGCCTTTGACTACCAAAAAGTTATTACTTTTTGAAACAGATTCCAAATATATTTTCTGACATATGTTCATAATATACAAATGTCAATGCATAGACAAATACTTAGGACTTTTAGTAATCCAAGAAAACATAGACAAGTGTAAATACACTGCAAACTCCTTGTACCCATGTGATTTGCTTGACTGCTGAAAGAGATGGATATCCATTCCTTCTTTGATTCTGAAATTTTGTTTGAATCTAAATATTAGCTAACTTACTCCAAAGCCTTTTCAATTTTAAAAAGCTACCAGAATTAACAGAAGTCAAAGAATTAGATTAATAAATCTGGTTTTTTTTTCATTTTATATTGCTGATTGAGTTAAGTTAACTTTTGTAGGCAGAGGTCCCACTTCTTGTTCATCAGCTTTACATTTTACTATCACGAGAGCAGAGGTTGGATATTGATTCAATTTTTGTTCATTCATATATTCCAAGTCTCCATAAATACTCAGCTTCTAGAAAAAAAAACCAAAGCGGGATTAAAATGGGCCATTTAATTGTAGCTTTCACAGCAGAACTATTATTCTTGGAGATACATGTATGCTAGGATATATGGAGGACCCTGAGATGGCCATACAAGCATCCGAGAGATCACAGTGTTTTCACCAGTGGATTCCAAGGGGAACTTGATGAAGCCCCTTTCCTAATATTTCTTACAGATAAATAGATATTAAAATTGCATGCTTATTTTACTTATGAACAATTTTGGGTTATTTACAAACCCGAACAAGAGGTTTATTTGATCACATATTTCCATCCAAAAGAACCTGAATAAAAGCCATAGCATAACATAAAGTGATAATTTACCTCAGATGAAACATACTGTTCAACAGCAGTAGTAACAGTTGCGCAACAAATCCACAGCAACACAAGTATAGACAGGAGAAGAGTGGTTGTTAATATCCAACCAGAATTTCTAGAAGGCAAGAAAACAGAATATTCCTAAAACAAATGGAGGTTTATTGAAAATATTTTCCATATATTAATTCCCCGTCTGAAAACCAATTTGCTCCTACACAATTAAACCCAACAACTTGAATGTAGTTTCAGAAGAATATTACTATATTTGAGAATTTAGGATTTTCAAATAGCCTCCGTTTTAGGTAATGAATGATTACAGACAGCCAACATAAAAGTCAAATACTAATTGGCATAACTGTTCATTTAGAAAAAGGGAAGTAGAAGAGGTTTGACATATCTATTTTTCAACCCACCCAACTCCAAAGAATAAAAGAATAGGAAGCGATCTTGGAGGTCTTCTAGATTTAACGACCTGCTCAAGCAGCAATCCCTATACCATTTCAGGCAAACAGTTTTCAAATTGAAGTCAAAACACAACTGTGTTAATTAGTCAACTTCAATGTAAGCAACTAAAGATACTGCTATTCTATTACTCCATATACCAAAAATACATACAGTGAAATACATTTGAAGAAACTCTCAGTTTCATCATCAAAAGATCCTTTACGTGCATGTGGACCTCCCAACTGTAAGTCTACTGAAAAAAATCATAGTAAAACTTTGTTGAGCTTTTAATCATGAAATCATAGATATCTAGCAAACGTTTGTACCTTTCAGTCTATGTGTTAAATTATTCTGGAATAAGTTAAGCAAAGTTTAACAAAAAGCAGATGGTATCTAATATCAAAGAAAACTTGTATGATTACCCTATTTGAAATATTTTCATAGATATATTTGCAGATTTGCATTTGCAGATTGAACAAATCCATCAATATATTGGCACGACTGAATATAATTAGTTAAAAGTATTATTTGCTATGACTATTTTTTTCTCAGTGATTCATATGGTAATTTTTATAATGTATTGTAGATATTTTAGATATGATCTTATCAATTTTCAAAACCAGCAAAATAGTTACAGGCTGCATAAGCAAATAAGTTGTGGAACATTAGTCTGATTGACATGGCTTACACAGTGACACACCCATACATAGTACGATATTGGAAAGCAGAAGCACTTGAAATAAATGGATTGTTACAGGAAAATGAGAATTACCATTGTATCTCACATAATTAGAATCAATGAAGTTCACTTCAGGTAAGAAAAAATGGAATAGCCTATTTCAAAACAGGATCCAGCCCCTAAGTTATAAAATTGTGCTTTTGGTTTTTTTTAAATTGTAGCTTTGCCCCCATACATTTTGCATCTTTGTGCTTTTAAAAAAATGAAAAATATGACAAGTGTATATGCACACTTAGTTATCTGACTATGCATGTTTTTCAAGTTGTAAATATTACTGTTACTAATCTTCCAGCTTTATTTCTTCCAGAAAAATTACAGTGCTAAACATTATAAGCTTTTTCTTGAATAGGATAAAACTAAAAAGTTGGTTTGTCTTTCGCTAGAAGAAAATCCTAGAAGAAAACAGCATCTAAAAAGACGTGCATATTTACATTTTTATAAGCATGCTATGTTTTGCTGGAGTTCAGCCACCAAGGCAACTATTGTTCATTTAAAAAATTGCCTCAGCTGCGGTAATATAAATGAAAAATTGTTCTGATGTCTTACTCCTGACATTTAGGAAGGCATCTACATGCTTAACCAATATGTCTATAATTAAAGAATTATTCTTGAGGAAGTACAGACTTGCATGAATGCCTCTGTATATTACCAGCAGAATTCTGGCAGGGCAGAACTCATTCATGCCACAGATATAGTGACTTTTCACTTTTGTATAAATAATGGAGTTTCTAGTTATTATACTGAATTTATCTGATGTTCAATTCTATATTTTCTTATCATCAGTACAGAAAACAAATTAAAAGGTGATAAGAAATCTTAATTGTTAATTTTAAAAAATATTCAATTTTCATAAATGCATAGAAACATATCTTTATAATCCTCAATTACTTCTGTTATAGTCCCCAACTTTTTTTGGGTAACTTACAAGATGTCTTGGCTAGAGATGATTCTTTCAAATCTTGGTTTTCCTGATCAGAACTTTGTACATACTGAACATCTGGTTTGGACTGAAATAATAAAATCTTCAAATTAGTGTAAAAGATGTGTACAAAGCTAAAATCATCATACACAGGAGTTAATAATTTTAGTTTAGGCAGTCACACTTTTTATTTATTTACAGGTAGTCCTCCACTTACAACAGTTCATTTATTGATTGTTCAAAGTTCCAACAGAACTGAAAAAAGTGACATGACTTTTTCATATGTATGATTGTTATAGCATCCCCCTGGCCACATGATTAAACTTCAAATGCTTGGTAACTGACTCATATTTATGATAGTTGCAGTGTCCTGGGGTCACGTGATCCCTTTTTCGACCTTCTGACAAGCAAAGTCAATGGGAAAACTTTACATATGACTAACCTAATAACTGCAATTGATTCACATAACAACCATGGCAAGAAAGGTTGTAAAATGGGGCAAAGCTCAGTTAACAAAGTCTCCCTTAATAACAGAAATTTGGGGGTCAATTGTAGTCTGAAGTTGAGATCTACTTGTATTTATTTAAAGAAACACACAAACAAATATTTATTTTTTGTGTTTCTGGGCTACTTATCTTCCTCAAGATACATTAGTTTGTAAGCATTTTAAAGTACAAACCTAATTAACTTAAGACTAAAACCCTATAAAAAACAGGCAAGTGTTTAATTTACAACTGAATTAGAAGCACCTTTGTACAAACCTGATTACATTCTAGTCACACAAGTTAGCAATTACCTGAAATATCAGTATTTTGCCATCATCAGCTTGAAGATAGAAAGTCCAGGTAGAGGTAATGAAGCTGTGGGCAGTTTCCATCATATCACTCCAAAAGGATCTTACAAGGGTAAGTGGGAAGAGTCGATGAATTTTTGGCATTAAGGACATGAGCTACAAATAAAAAATTGATTTTTTTTTAAAAAAAATGCATGTAAATCAGCTGCAGAATAGGAGTACAAGCAGTGAACTTCAACTGCTTCTGCTTTAACAGTTAAGATTACTTACTTGTTCGCGTCTCAGTTCAGCATATGGTAACTGATTCTGGCATCCAAGATGACAAGCATATTGCTCATCAGACTGGGAGGTATATGCCTCTGTACATGCTGCAAAATAACATCAATTCTCTGTTTTAAGGACTGCACATTCCATAGCAGTGATGAAGCACAGATGAACGTAAAATCACTATTTAATACTATTATTTTGTACTCTTCTTCTTGAAACCCATACTAATAGAACATGCCAATATTTTTAAAAATGCAAATTGAGATCAAACTAATTTAACATTCAAAATCTGTAAACAAAATCCAAGATAACTAAATGACAGAATATTAAAAAGAGAGAAGAAGAAATAATCTGGTATAGCTTTCTGGAGATCCTTAGTTTGTAGAAGGCAGATCCTTTTATTTTTTAGAATCTCTTGAGATGTAACTTACTATACATCACGATTATAGGAGGAAACAGGCAAGCATGTAATCAGAAAAACCATGTAAATAAATTACAAGGGAAAATAGTCTTCCCATAAATGTGTATCAAACACATTTATTAAGTGTCTATTCCTATGCATACTGACTTGGAGGGGAATACTAGTCGAGTCAGTAGGATTTACCGTTGAATAAAGTGCCATATTGTAATGCACAAGATTTCAGAACAGTGTTATCAAAACAGAAAGCAAGCAAAACTTCACTGGGCTTATGTCATAAGCCCATGATGGTGAACCTATGGTATGTGTGACACAGGTGGCATGCAGAGCCTTCTCTGTGGGCATGCAAGCCGTTGTCCCAGCTAAGCTCCACCATGCATGGGCATACACCTCCCACTGGCCAACTGGTTTTCGAGTCTGTGCCACGCACGCATGGGGGGCATGGTGTACAGGGGGGGGGGGGGCGTGGGTGTACTCACATTGCATTATGGGTGTGCGTGTGTGCTTTTGGCATTCAGTGCTGAAAAGGTTAGACATCACTGTCAAACCAAATCAACAATTAGATTTGTTTTTCATGAAAAGGCAATAAGCAACATCTAGCCTTTGAAATAACTTTTATCTCTATAAGAGTAATAAATAAAAATAAATG